AGTAGTTGAAATTGAATATTAAAATGCATAGCAAGGAAATATGTAAAAGTAAAAGTATCTAAAGAACATTGAGAGAGTCAGGAATAAAAACTGGGATGTTCACAAGTTTGAAGATGTATCATCGGGTAAATATTGTGTGTCTTCTGTAGTTCTGCTACTCAACAAGTTGAAATTATTTTCACCAACAGAAAATTATGATGTTCTGTCACAAAACAAACAATTAAAAGAAAAGGAAAACAGGAATATTTGAATTCTCTAAGTGATTACCTAATTACCTTTCCCAGCAGCAATGAAAGATAGTGATGAGCACATCCTCTAAAACATAAGACATGAACCAATATCTGAGGAGCTATATTCTTGAAAGTGAAGTCTGAGGCTAAAAGCCTTAACTACAGGGTTTTATTTACAGTGTCAGTAAATGCTATTATATCATGGATGAAACTTTTTGCATACCTCATTGTATATTTCAAGATATCATGGACAGAGCAAGAACTATTATACCATGCATAATAACTGACCTCCACATCTAGGGTGAAAGAGGGCTTAGTTCCAAAACAAATGGCATGAAGCGGGTCTTCTTTTTTTATGCTTCCTCTCACTGATAACTTTGATTTCTGTAGGTTCAAGTGAAACCAAACTAGGTTGTAACAACAACCTGCAATAAAATAACACAGAATCTCACCTTGAATTGAAAACTGAGAATATATATGAGATAATCAGTTCAAAAATTGAATCGAAAACCAGAGATATTAGAATCACTAAGTTTGATTAAAGACGAAAATTATCTCTGTAAACACAGGGAAAATGACTGAGACGAACATATCAAGCATAGATTTTCTCACTTGTCTCTATACAAAGTAAAATTTGATTCTGTCATAGTAGCTGAAACATATGATTAAAGTAACCACATACTGGGATGATTGCAATCAAGTAGATGCCTATCAGTGAAGCTTGATGACAAAGACATAGTCAGACTATTGCAAGAAATCATATACTAGAAATATTAAAAAAGAAGCTCTAGGAAGAGAAAGGAAAGCTGACGACATGGGTGCAGGTATCATCACCTCATAACAACCACAAACAGTTCCACGTTGCTTGTGAATTGTCTACCTAAAAGAGACAGGAGACCCTGCACAAGTATATGTCCAATACTGCATCACATTTCAAAATACAAAAGACACATAACGCAACGGGCACACACATGAATTCACAGATAAATAATTGATTACACATACACGGTAGAGGTTATTACAGGACACATTTTCAAAGTACATGTCAATTAGAAACATTGATGTCGCTAATGTGATGAAAACTACACATACCTCTAGTTTGAGGAGGCTTCCACTCCTTATTAGTCTTTTGAGTCCTGCAAAGAACCTAGATATTGAGACATACTCTTAGCAAAACGTAGAACGCAATATACAAAAGGGCACTACCCTTGAGAATAGAATACTTATGTTTCCCTTCTAATAAGAGAATTTCTGTGTTGAAACATTTGTGCCTAGGCCTTAAGTGTTTGTAAATTCTTTATGAGTAAATTCTAGAAGGAAACAGAGTATAATAAACCTGAAAAAGAGCAATAGTCGATGTCTCCACTCTACTTCTTGTTTTAATGAAAATACATAATGCAAGATATACATTTGATGTAGCAATACCACCTTGTAAATAGATATTTGCTGTACCAACACGAACTTGCTGCCAAACAAAGATGGTGTCAGCATATTTGTAAATAGATAACTGTAATTTATCTTAGTGGCATCAAACAACTATAAAAAAAAAGTAAAGGGAGAGAGAAACGTTGGAACAAATTTGACTGGGCACTCTATGATCTGTACTTCGTTTCTCTCTCGGCTTTGATGACACAATCATCATCAACTACCATTACTATCTCTTCAGTCATCAGCTGAAACTCTTCACTCTGAAACACGCAACAAGACACGATAAGTTATAATAATCCATGACAGGAACCTCATTGACAATGAGATCCAGAGCCTTTTTTCACGGAAGTTCATGATATGTCAATATCTTCATATATGTATATCAGAGAGAATCTAGTAGAAACATAAAAAAATGAGCTTATACTATTTACTGGAGAGCTTGTTATCCCGAGAGAAGAATTAAATGCAGAAGTCAAGGCAGCTAAGCAGAAGCGCTTTGCCTTGGTCTTTGGTTCCCACTGCTAGACTGATCCTACAGCAGAAGGGTAAATTGTATGTAAACATAAAAGTACGAAAACATAAAACAGGCATGTAGTATCTCGAACTTTTCCCAGTAAGAATCTTAACTAAGTGTCTAACTCCACAACGTGGTGTGTAACTAAGTGTTACAGGTAAACATACCAAAGCGCTATAATTAAGGAGAAAATGCAGTGGACGTTAAAGGAAATGTCAATGAATTCAGAGGATTTCCATAGTTCAAAATTACTCCTGCATTGCTTCCAAAGAGCCTCCATGCGTTGAACCTTTCCAAGAACAAGATCAGATTAAGAGATTTGACACGCCTAAGAGTGCTCGATCTCAGTTGCAACCATATTTCTCGCATCGGACAAGGTAAAATTGCAGTCATTAAGTAGAAAACATATAATCCTTGTTTGCTTCCCTGTGATAACCAAAAGCTATTAGTCAGGTTTATCAAACTGTCCACTGATCAAAGAACTATAACTAGCGGGAAACAAGATCAGCAATGTTGAAGGCTTACACAGAAGAAGTGAATAGAGAACAAGGTGGAAGAAGTATTAATTTCCCGCCAAAATTTTCCCGCCAAAAAGTTTTGAAAAATAAATTTCCCGCCAATTTTTTTTATTCAAAAATACTTTTCCCGCCAATTTTTTTTGGCGGGAAATAGATTTACAACGGATTTTAAAAGAGTTTTAAAAGATTTACACGGGATTTTAAAAGGGTTTTAAACTATTTTCAAGAGATTTTAAAAGGGTTATAAAAGATTTATAAGGGATTTTAAAAGGGTTTTAAAAGTTTTACAAATGATTTTAAAAGGGTTTTAAAAGATTTATAAGAGATTTTAAAAGGCTTTACAAGATTTACAAAGGTTTTTCAAATACTTTTAAAGGGTTTTAAAGGGTTTTAAAATATTTACAAGTAATTTTAAAAGGGTTTTAAAAGTTTTACAAATGATTTTAAAAGGGTTTTAAAAGATTTATAAGAGATTTTAAAAGGCTTTACAAGATTTACAAAAGTTTTTCAAATACTTTTAAAGGGTTTTAAAGGGTTTTAAAATATTTACAAGTGGTTTTAAAAGGGTTTTAAAAGATTTACAAGAACTTTTAAAAGGGTTTTAAAATATTTACAAGAGATTTTAAAAGGCTTAAAAAAATTTATAAAGTTTTTTAAAAGATTTTTAAAGGGTTTAAAAGTATTTTAAAAGATTTACAAGGGATTTTAAAAGGGTTTTAAAGATTTACAAGAGATTTTAAAAGGGTTTAAAAGGGTTTTAAAAGGGTTTTAAAAGATGTACAAGGGGTTTTAAAAGATTTTTAAAGAATTTACAAGAACACTCTTTAAAAACTCTTGTAAAGTTTTTTAAAACCTTTTAAAATCCCTTGTAAATTTTTTAAAACCTTTTTAAAATTCCTTGTAAATATTTTAAAACTCTTTTAAAATCCCTTGTAAATCTTTTAAAACACTTTAAAACCCTTTAAAAAACCTTTGTAAATCTTTTAAAGCCCTTTAAAATCTCTTGTAAATATTTTAAAACACTTTTAAAATCAATTGTAAATCTTTTAAAACTCTTTTAAAATCCATTGTAAATCTTTTAAAACCCTTTTAAAATCCCTTGTAAATCTATTTCCCGCCAAAAAAAAATTACAAGGATTCTTAAAAGCATTTTTTTGGCGGGAAAAAAAAATTTTGGCGCCAAAAATTTGGCGAGAAAATATCAGTTTTCAATTACATGTTCCTATTAGATGAGGATAATTTGGTCATTCTGTTCAAGGGAAGAGGTATTTTTAAAAATGGACAATACAAAAGGGTATTGTTGCAAAAGGGTAGTAAAAAAGGGTAGTTTTGCAAATCTCCTATTCTTTTTATAGTACAGTTGATATGATCTATTTTGTACTCACATAACTCTTTGCGTATTTGATCCGTCATATTTGGTTATGTAACATTTTCATATAAAAAAACATTGCTAAGATTTATGTAAAACAAAATTGGATTAAGTCTCATGTTAATATCGTAGATATATAGATATAACTAGATTCTGACCCGCACATACGTGTGGGGTTTCATATTTTAAGAAATGTATTAGGATATATTTTTAGTGAAAGATATTATAATATATAAATTATAATGTGCATAGAAAAATGTATAGTTGTTATTTATGATACAATAGCTAATGTTGTGAACCGCACAATATACGGATTGTAAGTTGTAACAACCCGTCCGTGAGACCTAGTTGGCGCTGCAACACATCAACCCTAACCTCTCTCATGTGGACTTTCCAAGCCCACATGTAGGTTATTGGTGCGCTTAGCGTTCTTCGAACCCAAGTCATCATCGTTTAACAACTTTCCCACACGACAAGCTATTACCAAAGACCTGCAGGTTAAAACATATATAATTACCTGTACTCAAAAAAATCATATTACTGTTTGTCCCAAAAAAAATCATTATAATTTTAAAAATAAAAATAAGAGTATTGGTGTGAATCAATATTTTCTCATTTTGAATATTTGCATTATAAATTAATAAAATTTCATAGTCCCACCCACCATTATTAATTTATAGAGTTTCTAGTGTAAGTGACTAATTTTTGTGGTTTAGTGTTCTTTCTTCGGTTAACCAATTTTTATTGCTAGAAAGAGGAACAAATTAGGGTTTTTATTAAGCCCGTCGTTGCATATAAATAGTCTTAACATCGCCGCTTGAAACAGATAAGTGTTTTATTCGTCTCTCTGTGGCCCGAGATGTCTCCATCTAATCTCTGTTTCATAGTTTAATCATATTCTTTTGTTGTTTTCAATACCTGTGTTCAAACATCTTGAGTAGTTGCTGTGATGAAAAAATCCGTGTGCCAGAGATGAAGACTTCATCATGAAGTTATTCATCGCTGACGGCAAAACACAACCCTCTAAGAAGTTCTAGTAAGTTTTTCTTTTGAAACTTTGATTTTGTTCTTTTTTTTGTGTGTGGGGTCGAAGTGACAACATTTGAGTGATGTTATTGTGATATCTCGACAGATTCTGATCGACCCAATAAAGATGATGTTTTTCGATTGAGTTTATTCTTTAAGTTTGTTGATTGCATTGTTGGATGATATGGGGCACATGATGAATATTAGAAAACAAATGGGTAATTTGCGACTGATGATATTACATTGATGTGTTTTTTCACCTTGGAGAACTGATGTCCCTAATCTCATCTTTTATAGTCTTGTAGAGTTTGTCTCTTTTTTTTTGTACTTATGAATTCGTTAGTTTTATTTGCTTTTTTGAAAAAAAAACATAACTTTTACTTTCGGAAAAAAGAAAAGCCAATTAGCAGAGCAAGGGCGTCTAGTTTAAATGACGTGAATTGCCTTGAAGGTTGGCGATAACAATTCTTGCGATTCTCCGTGCCTATCAAATTTTTGCCTTTTTTTTGTATTGATAATGGCCTCGAACAAGTCGCTATATTCGTTTTGTTTTCCAAAGAATTTTGTTTCAAAAGAAGTCTATTACGTAATAATTAAAATTCAGGATCAGATAATCCAATTAATAATCCGGTTATTTTACGATCACAACTAACCAAACGCTTATACAATGCTATCAATTGAGCAATGGTGGGATGGTTAAGGTGCAACTAAAGGTTTACACAAATTTATAAACCGGAAACTGAGAATTTGGAGTAGACTAAATGTTTGGTTGTTTAAATTAAACGCGACTATGATAAACATTTATAAACAGGGGATGGGTACAATATTCTTAAGCATTTTGGTCAATATTGATAAGTCAAATGATATGTCTTAACATTAATTCAAAAAGGGAATTGATGGCCATGAACGGAGAAAAGACCATAATGGGGACAATTTTTGTAGCATCTTTTCCAAAAAATGTTATTCCAAAGGATTGTTAGCTACTCCCCTCTGTTTTTTTTTAAGTGATGTTTTATACTAATGCATATTTATTAAGAAAGGTTCTATAATACTCACTAATGCACATTCATTAAGAAAGCTTATATAATATCTATTCTATCTTTTTAACAATGAACTAAAAACTGTCGGCATATTACTATTTAATCAAGAGTTATTGATCTCATGTGGTGGTATTCCTAATCATTAACCGGTCAATTTATTTTTCTTAGTCAATTTTCTTTGTTTTAGATTAACACGGAAAGAGTAACTTTGTTAAAAAAATTAACTTTGGAGCCAAATCAACCAAAACTAATTTTTTACTAAAATTTTAAAATTGTATTGGAGCCAAACTGAAAATTCATGATGCTAATATATATGGACACAACACAAACAAAAGAATCACAATAAATAATCACAATTTCATTCATGAATTCTAATTTTGATTTGAATCTTCCTGTCATAGACGAAGAAAGGGAGATTTGTTTGATCTAAATCAAACTCCAACGAACGAAGAAATACTCAATAATGAAGAAAATGATGTTGAAGTCGTTAACAATTCTTCAGAGTGCAACGAATTTGTTACTGAAACAGATTCATGTCTGTTTTTTATTTTTCCATTCTTTCTTAATGGAATAAGGGTCATTTGCAAAACTAGCCATATTTGATAACTTAATTAAGAATATAGCATCATATATATATAAATTAAGAAAGTAGCATATAAGGGTTGTAAAAAGACAATTTTGGTGTGGAATAGTTGGTGAGAGATGATTTAGTAACACTTCATTTAGTTTTCACCCATTTTTATATTTTTGTTATATATCTTTTCCAAAAAATAGATTCTAATTCTGAAATTTATAAGATAAAAATTTATGTTTTTTTCTACATACAACATAGTTTGAATTTTTAAAATCGGATTTGTATTTATAAAATAGTAAATAATGTTTATAAGTAAATTTATATTGTACTATTTATGATGTATAGAAATAAAATGTTGTACTATACTATTTTCATAAATTATTCATAATTCAGTTTTAATTTTAGTATAGAACAAAATATTTTAAATTAAATAAAGTAATAGTGGTAGTAGTGGTGGTGAGATAGTAATTTAAGTTGCAATAATAGGAGTCCGAGGCTGGTTTGCCACTAATTGGAGAAAATGAATCCGGCATGCCATTTTGTGATCTGAATGCCACTGTAAATGTGATATTCCCAAATTACCCTTAATGAAATAAGAGACGATTGATACAACTAAGAGATAATAGTACAACTGGTACAATTAAGAGATAATAGGAAAACCGATACAAATAGTATAACTGAGAGATAATTGGACAACTGGTACAAATGGTATTACTAAAAGATAATAGTACAATTGATACAATTGGTATAACTGACATATAAATAGGTACAACTGGTACAAATAGTTAGGTACAATGGTACAAATAGTTAGGTACAACTGGTACAAATAAGTAGGTACAACTGAAACGAAGCAATTGTAATTCTAAACCCTAGCGCCGTCACACTTACTAATTCGCCTCTTCTTGCTTTCTTCATCGTCGTCGTCGCCGATTATCCGCCGTCAACCTTCTTTGTCGAAGTTTGTGAACCGTTTTTCTCACCAAACGATTGCGCACTTCAAATGACGAAAGCACGAGGAGATATCCATGGAGAAGAAACATGAAGAGAGATCAATGATTAGTGAATCTAAGAAATCCATGGAGAAGAAAGATTCAATCTATGAAGAAACGCAAAGAGAGATCTATGGAGAAGATGGAGAAGATAGATCTAAAGTGTTTCATTGATGATGATGATGATGGAGAAGAAGAGATATAAAGTGAAAGATTCAAAAACAATCTAGAAAAAATGAAAGAAGAAGAAGAAGAAGAAGAAGAAGCGTGAAAGAAGAAGAGGAGTGAAAGAAGAAGAAGCGTGAAAGAAGAAGAGGAGTGAGTTGGATTGGTGGCAGGGATACGTAATTATCAAATTAGGGTAAGGGTTTTTGGTCTTTTTCTATTTATTTGATTTAAATTCTTTTATTTTTATTATTCTAAAAAATTGGGTGGCATTCTAGGTTTTATTTTCCCACATAGTGGCATTCTAGCCATTGTTTCCAATAATAGCTACGATAATCGTAAGAGATAAAATATAGACGATCCAAATGACCGAGCTAAACCGATATGATCGTCATTAAAAAACTATACCCTAAGAGATACAATATTGGGAACCCAAGCAAGCGTGGTAAACTGTTGCTGTGACATAGACAGTAGTGATGGTGGTGGGATTGACGGTAACAATGGTGATGATGATAACGATTATAGTGGTGATAGCGGTAAAAATGACGGTGGTAGTGGCGGCAATATGATTGTAGTGGCGACAATACGGTTATAGCAGTGAGTCAGTGATAGGGATAATGGTGACTTGGTATTAGAGATAATAGTGTAATAATATAGGTGATAGTTATATTATAAATTTTATTATGTATAATATTTTTTCTGTTAGAATAGAATAGATTGTACATATAGAAAATAGAAGTAAGAGACATTAAGAGAGATAGGGAGAGAGAGAGTGAGAGCGAGGGAGAGAGGGAGAGAGAGAGAGAGAAAGAGAGAGGGGAGAGGGAGGGAGAGAGAGAGAGGGAGAGAGAGAGGGAGAGAGGGAGGGAGAGAGAGAGGAAGGAGAGAAAGAGCTAGAGGGAAAGAGGGAAAGTAGGAGAGAGAGAAAGGAAGGGGACAAAATTGTGAATAATACACAAAATATAGAGAATATGATCTCTTTTTTGTTTTGATGCTACTTTCTTCATTATAATTTTTTTTTGTGTTAGATTTGCAAATTTTCTATGGAATAATCAACAAAATCCTGTTTTTTCTTTTAATTTACTCGGTCATAGTTGAGAAGTATTTGTTAATTAGTTAATGTTTTAAGACTTTTGTCGTTGGTATGTTGAAGATGGTTGTTTTTGCTAATTTTTTTATTACTTTTGTTAATACGTAGATATAGATGGTCAATAAGAGATTGGAAAATTTGTAAATATAACTTAAAAAAAATAAAAATTTGGAAACTAACACTTTAAAAATTAGAAGGTGATATTGTGTATATTATATGTAATAAATACATTTTTACTCTATTCTTCTTTTTTCTTCTGCGTGAAATATCTTCTCTCTTTCTTCTTCTTTTCTTCCACAACCACCACAACCACCACTACCTTTAAAGTCATTGTTGCCGGAAAATCGTATCCGGAGCCACCATTGAAACTTGAGATAATTTCATTTCGTTTAATGATTTTTGTTTGGATTCCATGTATAGTATCTTAGGGTTTAGTTTTCTTAGATCAATATATGTTTGTAATTATCTTTTCCTCACCGGCACCGCCATTATCGTCACCATCGCCACTGACACCGCCATTGTTGCCGTCACCATCACCACCGTCACCGCCATTGTTGTCGTCACCATCGCCACCGGCACTGCCACTGTTATCTCACTATCGCCACCGGCACTGCCACTGTTGTCTCACTATCGCCACCGGCACCGCCACTGTTATCATCACCATTACCATCGGCACCGCCACTGTTTTCGTCACCATCACCATCGGCATTGCCATTGTTACTATTACCATCAACGCCATCTTCGCCACCATCACGCTAGTCAACGCTGTTTTCTTTTTATGTATATCCATAAACCGAAAAGAGTGTGAAGGATCACGTCACTCTCCTTCTCCTTTTCACGCGCGTGTTCTCATATCTTAACGAGGAGTTTATTGACTTTTCATCCCTCTCTAGTGTTATTTACTTAGTTTTGCATATTAACGTGCTATATTCTTAAATAGATTATCAAACATGATCATTTCTGCAAATCACCCTATGAGATTCCACATGTAAAGAAAAATATCTCGAATAAGGAAAGATGGGAAATATATTATGCTTTACTAGAGAGAAGTCGTGGTGGGAAGTTAGAGAAAAAAACTACACGCAAAGTTTCTGAATTATTTTTGGTATCGATTCAAACGGTGCAACGGATTTGGAAACAAGCAAAAGAAACTTCTAATGGTGGAGAAGTCGATGTATCCCACAAAAAAATAGGATGTTGTGGTCGCAAGAGAATCTCACTTGATTTGGATCATATTAAAAATATTCCATTCCACAAGAGAAAGACACTACGATCGCTATTAACGGGTTTGGGTATTGGTCTTTCATCCTTACATAAGCGTCTTAGAGAAGGTACAATTCGACGTCATACTAATGCTATTAAACCAAGTCTAAATGATGAGAATTTGAAAGGAAGACTATATTTTTGCTTGTCTATGTTGGAA